ACAACCCCAAATCTTAATACCTATCGAGTTAGCGTTTTTACCTTTCGCTAGTCCTTTTGACTAGCTACAGAATCAGGCATTTGGGAAACCCCAAAAATACTGTTCATCTGATACACATCTAGGCAATTTGGTTTCTCAATGCAGTTTTTGTGTATTTTGAGACCTTTTTCAGGCGATGTTTTGCTAAAAAGGTACAATTTGGTTCAAAACTAATATCAGATTCGGAATCAGCGTTAAAAACTGAGTTGATTTATATATCTTGTGAATAATTTTGAGAAAAATAATTTTTTTTGAAAAAAAATCCCTGTACCCCCCCCCCCCCACCTCCCAGGGATGGTCTGGTCAATAATGACAATTTTTTCGATAACTCAGTCATTTTGTGACGGATCCTTCTCATCTTCGAACTCGACTGAGACATTGTTAAGACTGAACTGTGTAGAAAATTTCATCGCGATTGGACTCTCCTTTCAAAAGTTATTGTGTTAACGGCCGGACGGGCACACTGACCGATTCTAGAGTGTACTCACTTTTTGAGTACACAAAAACTGACCTCAGACTCAGTTTCTTCACCCTCAGTAACCTTTACTAAGTTCCTATCAAAACTCTGAAAAGTCTTGAAATAAAAAATCTTCTTTCTGATCAGTCCACTTCCTGACCAAAAAAAGCTCGGATTGGAAGTAAAACCTCAGATTCGAATTCATCATCCTTCATAAATTAAAATACCTAGATCAAACAAACACGGTCGTAAGACGATCATATAAGAAGAAATACGAAATATCTGCCGTCGTTCACGAGCGTAAATGGACTTCGTTTCGTCCACCTGAGTAAAACTTAATTAAAAGCTTGAAAAACCTTAATATAAAAAATGTTGTTTCGGACTGATTCAGCCCCTGAACGATGAGAACTTACATTGAAAAACCGATCTCAGAATCGGATTTATCGATCCTGATTACCTTTGATCAAACTTAATGCAACATCATTTAAATAAATAAAGGTACAATTATAAACGCGCCTGGAAAGAAACATACAAGCGTAAACACACAAATGGATACCCCAAATTCGTTTTATTTCATACTACCCTTTCTATAATTGAGGGAATGAAAAAGCTTATTTGTAATTGGTCCGCTTTCTAGATGATGGGAAGATTGGATGCAAAGCCCGATTCCAAATTTAGAATCGTGACCTTCAATAAGCTATAGTAAAATTTCATGAAAGGTCGCAAAAAGCTTAAAAAACATGCTCACTTCTAACTTGTCAACTTTGAAGCCAATGAAAAGGTCCAACACGAAGTCCCATCTCGAATTCAGATTTCTACACCACATTTGCCTCTAGTGAAACTTTAGATGAAACGCTAAGTAATGTTCCGGTTCAATGTCTTTTTGATCTTGCAACGAACATACACACAAATTTTGTTTACTTTTTGTATATGATCCTCCGAATAGTCGATAGAATGAGGGTGACGAAATACTGAATCAATATTTTTTATTCAGTTCGTTCATTAACTAGATAATCATGAAACAAACTCCTGAAGAACATTTTTTAAGCATGATATGATAAACTGTTATTAAAAAGAGTCATATTATTAAAGAAACGCTACTAAAAAACCTTGAATTTTTGCTTACTCAAGCCGCATTGGGCAAAATTTTTCGTTTGTTCTGTTGTATGACTTGTTAAAAAATCATTACAAAATCTAATAAATCGTTTCGTTCTGTCTTTTATTCGCTCTTGACAGCATTCGAAACGCAAGTGAAATGCTGTCATTGCCTTTTTCCCGCAGGAATAACTCAATTTTTCAAAGAAAATACCATGCTAATATTTAATTATTTAACAATAAGAACAGCATAAGTATATGATTCTCCGAATAGTCGATAGAATGAGGGTGACGAAATACTGAACCAATATTTTTTTTATTCACTTGGTTCATTAACTAGATAATCATGAAACAAACTCCTGAAGAGCATTTTTTAAGCATGATATGATAAATTGTTATTAAAAAGAGTCATATTATTAAAGAAACGCTACTAAAAAACCTTGAATTTTTTGCTTACTGAAGTTGCACTTGGCAAAATTTTTCGTTTGTTCTGTTGTATGACGGCTACCTCTCATTTGCGAACATAATTAAAATTATTTTGAAGCAAATTTAAATTTTTAAAACTTCGTTTGATTTAAAGTCCATAATTTTATTATTTTTTTGTAAAGCAATAAAAATTTATAGTGAGTTTTTAAAAATTTGATTTTTGAAAAAATTTATAGAAATTAAATTGTTTTAAAAAAGATTTGCATAAAGTTACTTTATTTTAACTAAGTTTGCTGTAGTTTGTAGAGGACGCTAGTTTTTGACAATAGAAAGTTTTTTTATTTCTAAAAAGTTACTGCAATTTATAGAGAACGCTACTTGCTGATGAGAGAAAGATTTTGAACTCTAAGTTTTCATTGCATTTCGTAGAGGGTACAAGTTTTTAATAATAAAGTTGTTGATTATTTGAGGTTATACAGCTTATGACGTGTGTTAAAATTTGTAGACACTATAAATTGTTGATAACAAAAAGCTTTGAATTGTAGTACATACGCTGTCGTTGCTAGAGAATCGAAGCTTTTTCCTGATTGGAGACTTTTGCGATAAAGAAGTTCAATGAATTTTTTTAAATTACATCATGTTTACTTCGATACGGAGTTTATTGTTGTGAATAAAAGTATGTAGAAGGTATATTTAATAATATTGTGGTGTTTCCACAAATGATAAACATATATTATTATAGAAGATGAAGTCACATGCATACAATTCGTATTGCTCAATATAACATATGCTTTAATAAAAGATTATTAGTATCAATTCGATACAAGACTAATTTCGTTGAAAATGGGTACGTTTCTCTGATAGATATTAATTATGATTTTGTTACTTCTAGATATGATTGATCAATAAATGAAAATAGATATTGACTAATTTGCATTTCTTTGTGTTATTTATACTAGTTTGAAATAAAATATTTTAATAAAATAATGTGAACCAAAGTTAAAACAATTACTGTCTAGCTTATTTATCTATTTCTGTTTCTTGATGAATTTTTACTCATAATGTACGAGCAAAGGGCGTTTAATGGGGTGTGGGTTATATAAGAAGAATTCAAATGAAAGCAGAAATACATATTTAGTAATTTTTTTCTTTTATATGCGTATTGATGAATTAATACTGATAAAATACGAGCAAAGGTTCGCGATTTGGATTTATAAAAATAGAAATTCAACCAATGCGAATATAGGTTTTGATTAGCTTATTTGGTTTTTTCTTATTTATGAGTTAATGCTGATAATGTACGAGTAGACGATGTAGTCGAATTTATACAAGAGGAATTAAAATAAAAGTGAAAATAAATAGTGAGTAGCTTTTTTTCTTTTTTTTTCTTCTTAGCGAATTTTCGCTCATAATATACGAGCAAAGCTCGCCAGTAGGGGGTTATATGAGAATTTGAATCAAAGTAAAAATTGATATTGACTATCTTATTTCTTTTGTCAAGTTGATCACTGAATAGTTATAAGGAGGCGGCAGTAAAAATCGTCATTGTTTACTTATATGAGTTAATCTTAAATCAAAATAGAACTAAATATTCACAAGGTGATTTCTTTTTTCTTCTGCTACTGATGAATTAGAACTGATAATGAACGACCAATATTCGTTAATTCCGACTTGTATTCGTGTAATCTGAATATAAAGCGAAGTAGATTTTTATGAGTTTGGTTTTTTTCTTTTGTTATCGATATCAGTTTGAGCTAAACTGAGATTAATTTGAATCATTCAGCGATAAATATTGACTAGCTTATTTTTGTTTTGTCATCATTGATGAGATAATGTTTTAATGTAGTATCAAAAGTCCTGATAAAAAGATTTACATGACAATAATGCTAGTTGAATTGATGGTAGACATAGAATAACTCATTTGTTTTGTGGGGTGTGGGTGTGGGTGTGGGTGTGGGTGTGGGTGTGGGTGTGGGTGTGAGGTGTTGGGTGTGGGTGCGGGGTGTGGGTGTGAGGGTATGTGTGTGGGTGTGGGTGTGGGGTGTTGGGTGTGGGTGCGGGGTGTAGGTGTGTGGGTGTGAGGGTATGGGTGTGGGTGTGGGGTGTGAGTGGGTATGGGTGTTCTCTTTCGTTCATACTCACACTCACACCCACACCCACACCCTTCAGTTTAAAAATGCGAATAGAACGCATGCATCAGATATTCTTCGTGATTTTCAGTGATTGTATGTAATTACCGCTAGCTAGTAATGATTTTATAAATTCATAGTGGTATTTCATTTGAAAAAGGATGGGTGCGTGTGGGTCTGAATTCTCTTAACTCATATCAACACCCACACCCGTACCCTCAACTGATCATCGCAAATCGAAAGCGTATTGATGAGTCAAACAGCTATATGAGATATTCATGTGAAATACAAATGAAAATGAAAAGAAATGTTTGGATAGCAACAGAAATTTGTTTGTAGTTGAAGTATGTATCAGACATATTTATCCAATACATCAATTCATCCCAAGTGAAGCTAGCAATAAATGCTCTGAGTCATCGTTTGATGACGATGTTGGGTTTTGTGCATTTCTAAGCTGTATCATTCGGCTTATATTATCTTCGATTCGTTCGACATCGGGATGATTTTGGGGTAATATTTTCAAACTGATTGTCAAAGCCTTTTTTGCGTACGACAGTGCTAGTTCGTAGCGTTGATCATTTTCGAGAGCTTGACTCAAATTATTGTAAGCGAATCCGATTGCTGGATGATCTTCAGGCAGAACCTGCACACGAATGTCGAGTGTTTTCTGGAAATAGTTGACCGCTTGTTGAAGATTATTCAACGAAAAATATGCCAAACCTAGAGTATTGTAGGTTTCGGCGAGTTCAAGACTATTCGGTGGAAGTGTTTGTTCTTGAATTTTTGTCGCTCGATTAAGGTTCTCCAAACTTCTTTGCATCTCACCTTGCCGGCAAAGTGCGGCTCCAACACGGCCGTAGCTCATTCCAACTTCCGCATGACTTTCGCCGAATTCATTTTTTCGAATAGTCAAACTCGCCTGATAATGTTTCAAGGCATTGTCATAACTTGTTATACCATACATAGCCCGACCGATACCCATGTGACAATTGGCAAGCATGATTTGTGTTTCATGCATCATTCGATCATAATACTTCAGTGCATGTTGATATTCGCCCATTTCATGAAGAATTTTTCCGAGAGAATCGAGTGTATATTCTTGATTGATTGTTCGTTTTAAATAATCATAAATTTCTTTCAAACGATAATCATTTTCACTAGCTAAAGATAGTTGAACCACATGAAACCCTCCTTGTGGATGTTCGATTACTTTATCGATACGATAGAGTGCTCCAAATGTAATCAGTATTTCGTCTTCTGTAGGATATGCACTGTGTTCTTTGATATCCGCAAATGGCTTTATTGGTAAACGTGGATCAATTGTTATTTCGAAAAGAACACGTCGATTGTCATTATTCATCGGGCAATTCTGGAGGTAGCTCATCGCTACTCGACGATTGCGGCTAGTTGAGAAAAAACTGTTCATTGAAATAAATCCTTGTTCATTGTCGAAAATTAATTCAAGTTCATTTTTACTAACACATTGACCTCGAAAGATTTTCACAGGATCTCGTTCTATACTAAGTCGAAGAAATTGTTCGTATTCGCGCTCGATAGTTCGGGCCAAGTCAGTAATGAAAAATCGAAGTGCAAAGAGCAAGTCAAAATCACGATAACGCAGGGCTTTGTTTAATAGCCGATACAAACAAGAATCGAAACTGTACCACCAGATGGCTTTGTCCGAGGTGTATTCCCGTTCGAAGAGCTCGATATTGGCCAATTCATCTGGTTTATCTGCATAGAGTTGTTTGCACATTTCTACTAATTCTTTTTTAGCATCTTGCGAATGATATATTTTAATTAGAACTTCAATGTAAAGAAGAAACCATAAGAAATGAGCATTTCTTGACTGTAGTGATTGGGATTTGGTCGGTATCAGAGTAATGGACGTGCTATCTTCTAATTTTTTACGATCCTTTTGATCTTGAATGATTTGTGCCAATACTTCATCGTGGTTATTATATACTCCATTGATCTAAAGCAAACGATAGATGTTCTCTTCGTATTATAAATGTCCATGGCAGCGCTGTCGCGACACATTTTTCAAAATAATGTCGCGGTCCGCTTCTCAAAATCCTATCGGGGCAGCGCCATATTTTCAGCCGCGATGGACATCTATGCTTCGTATGCTGCATTCGATTCGAGAAAGGAATAGATCAACTATCGGTCTATCATTTACAATATGTTGAGTAAAACGAAAATGAAATCAGTGTAATGGGATTTTCCACGATGATGAAACTTATTTTATCAATTTTGAAAAATAACTGAAATCAACACTCGATGGTAAAAAATTGCACACACACACACACACTTGCAAGATTAGCGCAACTTTATCATATTTTTATTCATAACTCGTGTATGCTTTATCATCGGAAATTAATTCTGATTCATTTAAAATTAGAAAAATCAAATTCATCTACAATCTTATCATGTACACTTAAGTTTCACTGGAAAAAAGTTATCTTGAATTTGCTACTCGAACATACATAATTTTGTCAGATATTGAATTACCTTGAGATATTGATTTGTCCATGTAAGATCATTTGATTGGTCGCGACAAAGAACATAAACACAAACAAGTTGTGGTAGATCGTGGAGACGAGCTACTATCGATTCATTGAATATGTTCGAGATGATTAACAGCACTTTTTCTTTTGTACTTGCTCGAATATAATTATCACATTCTGCACTAGTGTCGAATATGCGAAGACAAGTAACGATATGTTGTAATTCGCTATGAATTCGACTTCTTTCGACGTCCTTGTCAAGCCAGACACAAACACAGCCGTACAGATTACTCGTCATAACAAAAGAAATCTCTCACTCTGATCGAAACTACACAAAGTAAACAAGAAAATGCATTCATTCTTTTTGTTATTGTTATGTGTATGTTGAAGAAATAAAAAGAAATTTTATTTTCTTGCTTCTTGATCAAACAGGTAGCTCAGTTGATTTCTTTCTCCGAAGAGTGAATGTCAGTGAGCTAATAATTTTCAACCGTACGCTTACTATTTATTCAAACGAATAGGAAATTGATGTAGACGATTTTTAAAAGCAATGATTCATTGTATTACGTGTATCTTATAACTCAAGTAAGCTAGCGATGGGCTAAATGTCGAGTATTTTTCCTAGTCATGTAGGCTTAACCGGTCTAGTTAGAGTCTCAAAATGTCCTCGCCCAGAACTAATAAAAAATGCACTGCATCTTGGAACCTAATCCGTAGCCCATCATTGACAGAAGTCATGGCACATATGCATAATCTAGTCTTTTTCTAGAAAGGGTGTAAATGTCACTCTAGATGGAGTGAATAGATACATCCAGCCTGCAGGAAGACAGCGGAAAGTCATTGGAATCCGACTGGAAACAGAGGCCGAAATCGACAAGCTGGACTGCAACATATTGAAGACGTTTTGTTTTGTTATGTAATCTAAAAAAGCCATGAACTTATCTTCTTGTGACATTAATCGATTGGACATAATCGCAATCTTGGGTGTGGGTGTGGGTGTGGGTGTATGGGGTAGGTGTGGGGGTGGATGTGGGTGTCGGGGCGGGGGTGGGGGGGGGGGTGGGGGCGGGCGGGGGGGCGCGGATGTCGGTCGTTTTTCAGATTCGTAGCCACACTCACACCCA